GATGTTTTCCCCCTATACTTGGCAACATGTGTGAGAGATAGCAAAGAGAAAAACTGATAAAGGAACTGATAAAACTAGAAGGAAGAGCATTCCCAATCCTACTAAAAACTGGACAAAGGAATTTACCCTATGTTGTTGTTGTTAGGTGCTGTCGAGTCATCTCGGACTCATAGTGACCCTATGCAAAGCAGAACGAAACACCGCCAGGTCCTGAGCCAGCTCCATGATCCTTGCTATACTTGAGCCCATTGCCGCTGCCACCGTGTCAATCCACCTCGTTGAGGGCCTTCCCCTCTTTTGTCCACCCTCCACCTTACCGAGCATTACATCCTTCTCCAGGAAATGGTCCCTTCTGACAACATGACCAAAGTATACAAGAGGAAGTCTGACCATTCTCACCTCCAAGGAGCATTCTGGCTGCACTTCCTCCAGGACAGACCTCTTAGTTCTTTTAGCAGTCCATAGTACTTTCAGCATTCTTCGCCAACACCACAGCTCAAAAGCATTGACTCTTCTTCAGTCTTCCTTGTTCATTGTCCGGCTCTCACATGCATATGAGGCAATCGAAAATATCAAGGCTTGTGTCAGGCACACCTTAGTCCTCAAAGAGACATTTTTGCTCTTCCACACTTGAAAGAAGTCCTTTGCAACCGATTTGCCCAGTGCTGTACGTCATCTGGGAGTTCTGGGGGCGTAGTGCCTAAGGCACTTGACTGCTAACCAGAAGCCTGGAAATTCAAACCTGTCAGCCACTCCTCGGAAGGAAGGTTGGGCAATCTACTTTTGTAGTGATACCGCCTTTGAAACCCAAGGAGGGGTCGCTATGAGTCGGGTCCGACTGGAAAGCACATAACAACAACAACAACATACGTCGTCTTATGTCCTGACTGCTGCTTCCATTGGCGACTATTGTAGAACCAAGCAATGGGAAGTCTTTGACAACTTCAGTCTTTCCTCCATTTATCATTATGCTGTCTAACGCAGTGCTGGAAGACCAGCCCTTTGGGTCAGAAGGTACTCAAAATAGGACTGGGAAAGAGCTGCCACATCAGAGTACAATCAACTTTAATGATATGGATAAAGTAAATCTCTCAGGACCTCCATGTGCTGATGTGGCATGACTCAAATGAAGGAGAAACAGCTGCAAACATCCATTGATAATCGAAACATAGAATGTATGAAGTATGAATCTAGGAAAATTGAAAGTTGTCAAAAATGAAATGGAACGTATAAAGATTGATATCCTAGGCATTCGTGAGCTGAAATGGACCAGTTTGGGCCATTTTGAATCAGACATATCCTATACTTTTTTGAAACAGACATATCCTACGTTGTTGTTATTATGTGCCGTGGAGTCAGACCTGACTCATAGCGACCCCTCCTTGGGTTTCCGAGGCTGTATCACTAGCGAAGTAGACTGCCCAACCTTCCTTCCAAGACATATCCTATACTTCTTTAAAATAGCAAGTTATCTCTAAATTCACTGCCAAAATAAAGCATATCTGCTCTGAAAAACAGTATTAAAGCACAAATTTTAAAACACACTCATGGTAGTTGAATAATTTTATTACTGAGTACACAGAACATAATGTAAACTTTGTGTCTTTAAATTGACATATTCAGCCGAAAATATGTATGCTTATACTCAAAAATTATAGGGTTATTATTAATTATAACAGTCTTTCCATAGTAGCAAAAAAATAACATTGTTTTCTTCATAAATACCTTATCTGAAACTGTAAAGACATTGCTCCAACCACCTTTTTAAAACCATTTCTTGGTTCATACTAATAGTGAAAATGGATTTCCTTATATAACATTTCTACTTTGGTCCTGTTCAGAGTGAGTAAGAAAAATCTCAAGTGTGATTCATCTTTAGTGAATCTCCTTTTCCAGTCATAAAATAAAATCACTTATTACCAAAGATCAAATCTTTCCATTTTTATTTTTTGCTATTGTCTTTTCTAAAACACTCCAGCTCTGTCATTTTAAAATACAATTGTATAACTTGGATTGAAGATTTCTGTATGCCAAGAGGCTGGCAATGTGACACATGACCCAGTGTAAATTTAGCAGTCTTTCATGAACCAAGTATTGTTAAGTTTAACATTTTGTGGATTAATTAAATGAATGGAATGGGAGTCCATTTAAAAATCAATCAAAGTACAATATTCTCTGTCTGGAATTGTAAGACACTTACCCTTCCCTTTCTCCCCATATTAATACACACACACACACACACACACACAATTTCCTTTATATACATAAAATCAAAAGCACAAACAAATCCACTGCCATCAAGTCAATTCCAACTCAGCAGCCCCCACTGGGTTTCTGAGGCAGTAAATCTTTATGGAAATATATTTCCCTATCCTCCTTCCTCGGAGTGGCCTGTGGGTTTGAACCGCCAAACCTCTGGTTAGCAGTCAAATGCCTTAAGCACTGAGCCACCAGAGCTCCTTCATACACATAAAATTGGGGGGAGGGTGCCCTACATTTCATTACATGTAAAAATATTCCAAGAAAAAGGAACAAATAGAATTTTAGAGGTTATCAATTTTTATAGCACCTCATCTCTGGGTAGTAGGTTTAAATTTGTATTACAATATTCCTTCTCTTCTTAGGTCACTGGCTGCTTTATGCATAATTTATCTATAAGATAATAATGAAAGCTAACATTTATATGCCAGGCAGAGTTCTAAGTGGCAGAGACAAACAGAGAAAAAGCAGGCTTGAATCAGGCCCAGTGGAGTGTACAATATAGGAACAGATATTTCTGGTCATTACCTATGTTTTGTACCTGAAGAAACAGTCTTAGACAAGCAGTGAATTGACTGAGGCCATTCAACTAGCAAAAGGCAGACCTGGACCTTGAAGTAGCTCTAAACAAAAAAAAAAAACCAAACTCACTGCCGTCAAGTCGGATCTGACTCATAGCGACCCCTCCTTGGGTTTCCAAGGTAGTATCACTACAGAAGTAGATTGCCCAACCTTCCTTCTGAGGAGTGGCTGGTGGGTTTGAATTGCCAGCCTTCTGGTTAGCAGTCAAATGCCTTAGGCCCTACACCACCAGAGCTCATTGAAATAGTTCTACCTTCCTCTAAAAAACCCTACGTTCCTCTAACATAATAAATGAAAGCACTGAACAAGCTGGGAAGAAAGCAGGACAGTCCATTCTTAAAGGTTTTCCTGACATGCTCCAGTTACCACAGACCGAAAATTATTCATGGCCATTCCAGGATCAGGCCTTGGACGGTCTCTTGAGAACTTTGATACTGTCCCATTAGAGGTGACAGAAGCCCCAAATACTTTTCCATGGCTAGGGTAAACAGGCAGCTGAGCCCACAGAGTTCTGAAGCTCTGAGCCCTGAACTACGTACAATTTCTCTAAAGGACTTCTCACCAGTGCTCCTCTGCCTGCTGCCTTCCCGACAGCTTCTGCCTGCTGCCGGCCAGCCCCTCAGCACGTGGCAAGAATCTCGTCATTCCCTTCGATTCTGCTTCCTTCAGAAGAAGCTTCTTGGGGTTCCTCCCCCACAGCCTGATGAATGCTAACATCTCTTTTTCACAGTATCACCCCTGCCTCAACAGATGCCTTTTCAGCATCCTACTTTAGATTTCCACTCAAACATTTAAAGAGAACAACTGTTAAAACCTGAAACACATGGACAAGAAAATTCACCATAGCATTTGACTGAAATGAGCTGCTAAACAAATAATCCATTAATTTATTCAAATAATTTTAACATAAGTGACTTTATTTCCTGACACACGCTCTTTCTCAGTGTGGAGGACTACTTTATTCTTTTTAAACAACATTGTGAAAATGAAACAGAATCTCTATCACAGGGAGTAGGAGAACATGTCTGTTTGCCTAGCATTGCTTTGAGGGGATTGTATTGGTTAGTATGACTAAATATGGTCAGAATTCATCAATGACAAAGTCCACATCTTTCTAAACTAGAAGGAAAACAACATTAACGGGAACAAAGTGGCTCATACCGTGAATGAGAGACTTTTCTTTTTTTAATTAACTTTTTGTTGTGACAAAATTCACATCTTTCTAAACTAGAAGGGAAATAACATTAAATAGGAGCTAAGTGGCTCATATCGTGAATGAGAGACTTTTTTTAAATTAACTTTTTATTGTGATTTCGGTGAAAGTTTACAGAGCAAATTGGTTTTCCATTCAATGGTTCATATATGTTTTAATTCATGACATTGATTACAATCCCCACAATGTAACCGAGACAGTGTTTAAGTGGTTTAAAAACATTTTAAGTCTCATTATCTCCCTACCCTCCTCACTCTAACACACTCGCTCCCTGCACACCCATTTAACCAACAAGGATCATTTTCTAGGAGGCCCTGGATGGTACAAATGGATCACAGGCTCACGTTGCTACTAACCCAAAGGTTGGCAGTTCAAGTCCACCCAGAGGCACCTTGGAAGAAAGATCTGGTGAACTACTTCTGAAAAATCAGCCACTGATTGGAGCACACTTCTGCTCTGACACTCATGAAGTCCCATGAGTCAGAATTGACTTGATAACAACTGGGAACAGGATGATTTTCTAGCCTGTCCTCTTTAGAAAGTTTCTAGTCACCACACTTTGCTTGACTGAGATGTGCAGGTAAGTGAGAATGGAATGGGGCTCAACCAACAGCTTGTAAGCAGATTTCAAGACAACAGAATCCACTCACATCTTGTTTTCTACCTTATTTTCTCAGTCAAGTCAATAAATACATGCTAGGTTTGAGTTTGGGTCATGGTACCACAAGATTTAACCTGCCACAGTAATTTTGTTTAACTTCTTTTCAGAATATCAAAATCATCTTGATATTTATTCTAGTCAGAGGCCCAAGAAAATTGGCATTGGTGGCCTAACAGGGGCCCGAGATGGCCGGCTGAAGACAGAGGCAGTCTTTTCCTATCCAGATCAGTGGTGTTCAGCAGATGAAGAGGCAGCAGCCGGCTCACATCTGGATAGGCGTCTGTGTCAGGAGCGGTAGGCCGCAAAGTCACGTGCTGGAGCATAAGGCTGGTAGTGTTTGCGGGTGGGTCCGGGCCTCCGGGGAGTTGTGTTCATGTAGTCGCTCTGAAGGATCCTGTTCCTCTTATGCCTCATCTGCCAAAAAGAAAATTGTCAAGGTGGAGGAAGTTGGGGACATAGAGGGAGGTGTGTTGGGAGTTGTCCTAAGATGAACAAAAATTAAAATTAAAAGCCTACTTTGGTAGTAACTATTTAGAACATCAGCTATTAAATGAAACTGAATACCATCATTATTTGAACACCTTGAACTTGGATAATGACTAATGCAACTCAATTAATTTGGGTTATTCTAAATTACCACCACTTGTCTGTCAGTTGTTTGTCCGGTTGTACTGTGGTGGCTTGCATGTTGCAATAGGCTGGAAGCCACGCCACTGGTATTTCAAATACAGCAGGGCCACCCATGGTGGACAGGTTTCAGTAGAACTTCCAGGCTAAGACAGACTAGGAAGAAGGACAGGGTCATCCACTACTGAAAAAATTGGTCACTAACTAGGAAGACCAGTTAATGTCACTTTGAAGACTAAGGTGCACCCAACCCAAACCATGGTATTTTCAATCACCTCATATCCATGTGAAAGCTGGAATAAATAAGGAAGCTCAAAGAAGAGTTGATGGCATTGAATTATGGTGTTGGCGAAGAATACTGAAAACACCATAGACTGCCAGAAGAACGAAGAAAATTTGTCCAGAAGTGCAGCCTGAATGTTCCTTAGAAGTGAGAATGGACAGACTCCATCTCACCAACTTTGGTCATGTTGTCAGAATGGACCAGTCCCTGGAGAAGTGTATCACTGGTAAAGTAGAGGGTCAGCAAAAAAAGGGGAAGACCCTCAACAAGATTGATTGACACCATGGCTGCAATGATGGGCTCAAGCATAGGAAGGATTGTGAGGCTGGAGTAGGACTGGCAGGGTTTCGTTCTGTTGTCCATAGAGTTGTACGAGTTGCAGCCAATATGATGGCACCTAACAATAACAACGTTCTAAATTAACTTTAAAAATCTGAATCAAAGGAAATATTTTAGAGAAATTCACTCATGTTACTCTCAATGCAGTCATTTGACCCAAATTACAAAAATATATATCCAGTGTTTGTTGTTGTATGTTACTATATCTAATTAATATATCTGCTGTTGTAATGTAATATATTTGAAGACCCTTGCTCCTTTAATAGGTCAAGAATCATCACTGCAATTTTTTTACATTAGTCATTTGCTTAACAAGTTATTTTCCATAATTAATCAAAGAAGACCTTTTGCCCACAGAGTCTATACTGATCATTAATTCATAGCAGTGGAGTCCAAACTAACAGGGATTTACAATTTGGGACAACTAATTGGGTTCCTATTCCCTAATGTGTATGTATTTTTCTAAAGACAATAATGTTACTCATCCCTGTTCTTCAAGCTCACCTCTCTCAGTATGAATTTTTACCAGGGCTGAGGAAAGTACAGGTAACACTGAACGTGGAGCAAGAATTAAACTCACCATGAATCTCAGCATAGCTTTGACTGGGGGTTAGGAACATCCTTTCTAGACCAATGTGGTAAAATTTATACTTTTGTCAAAAGATGCATAAAAATTCTAAAAATAGAAACTATCTTGATTTCTCGGTTCAAAATTTTATATATATATATAAGCCTATTTCCAGGCACATGGGCATGGCACATAAAGTTACACTGCACATGAGTGAAATGAATACCTGAATAAATAAATAAGCAAATGACTTCAGCACAAGCCTTATTTCCATGCATTCTTACCCAAGCCCCTCATATCTTCTTTGTCAAAGGACATGAGTAAGTGCTAAAAAAAAGGGGGGGTGGAATGAGAAAGGCAATATACAAGAAAGGGTCAAAAGCAATGGAAAATGGTCAGAACAATGAAAGAAACAGGAAGGAACAAAGAGTTAAAGGCAACAAAAAAAAGATGACCTTTATGTTACTAAACCCAACTGGCATGTTTACAGTCCTCATCTTCCTGAGCTCTGGGCAGAATTCTATATTACTGATTATTCCTACCTTTTCAAAATGCTCTTCCCATTTGCCATCTGTGACACCGCACCATCCTGATTTCATCCTACCTCTTTGACCACTACTTCTTTAAACTCATCCTTCTCTAATTAGCACTCATTGTCAGAATTCCTCGTAGCTAGGTCCTAGGACTTCTCCTCTACTCACTCTAGGCAATCTTATCCACATTCACAACTTCAATTACTACCTATTTACCTGAATCTGTATCTCTGGACTAGACTTCAAAGGCACTTCAAACTCAAAATACCCAAAACTAAACTCAAGGTCTTCCCCTGTTTCCCATCTCAGTGAATGACACTAATATCTATACAGTTGCTCAAGCTAGAAACCTGACCCTCATGCTTGAAAGCTCCAGCTCCTTCATCCCCTTTTACCAAATCCTGTTGATTTTACCTAAATGTCCCTGAAATGCATCTACCTCTCTACAACTCTACCACAACTATCCTATTTCTAAACTATCACCGTCTCTCAATGGAGCTACTTCAGTAGCCTTTCAATTGGACCCCTGCTTTTTTACTCTTGCTTCTTTCCACCATTTCCATGCCACAGCCAGGATGCTTTGGAGCTAGACTTTGAGGGATGGATAGGATTGCAACAAGCAGAAATAGCAAAATCAGTATTCTAATTGAAAAAGACAGAATTAACAAAGTTGGAGACAGAAAATGTCTAACTTGAGATGACTCATTCAGAGAAGGATATCATAGCTAATGATCATGATGATCTTGTTAAATTAGGATTTGACATCAACTCTTGAGAATAAGGTGGTATGGTATAGAGAAAGGCTTAAAAATGTAGAGAGGTTTAGAAGAAATTTCAAGGGAAGTACCAAGACACAAAAATTCTAAGGTGATATGGCCTCTTAAATACCAAGGAAGAAGTATTACTATTATTCATATCAATATTACTATTATTAGATTTAAGTGACTGGCAGCAACATTATTACAGGAATAATCTTAGATACAAATTAATTTGTACTTTCTTAAAAGTCATTCAAAAACTTTTTAATTTTCCTATTAGTAATAATTTACTTGAGTTACTTCAAACACACTGGTACCAATAAAGACAACATGATAAGATGATCAATTTGCGAAGATTAATCTGGCAGTTATGTACAAGAGTGACTGAAGGGAAGAGAGAAAGCAGGTGGGGAAAAAATGGGTCTACGTCAGTGATCCTCAACTAGGGGTGATTTTGTGTGTCGACCCCCCCCACACACACACACACACTCGCCAGAGGACATATGACAATGTCTGAAGATATTTTGAGTTGCCACCCCTGATAGGGATGTTACTGGCACCTACTAGACAGCAACCAGGAATGCTGTTGAACATTTTATAATGTACAGAGTAGCCTCCCAAGACCAAAGAATTACCTAACTCAAATTATGAATAGTGCCAAGATGAAGAAATCCTGGTCTATGGAGACCCATCAAGAAAAGAAAAGAAAAGTTAGCAAGCATACAAAATATATTACCAAATTGGAATGAATAGTGTTGGTCTGCTTGACTCCTCCTTGCTCAACTCTAATATCCAAAGATGATTGATGATTTCAGCCTTGGTGACTGGAAGGATGGTATACCATCCATAAACATAAAGTAAGACAGCAGAAGAAACAATTATAAAACAAAATGATAAAAAAAATCTTTGGTTATTTGGGATTTGAAATGGTGGGTGAGTTATCTACCTGGAACTAAGAAGGGAAGATATCATTGAACACATATTTGGGGAATTCATTCACATAGAGGTAGTCATGGAAACCAAATGGGCAAGTAAAGTTGTTCTTCAAAAGTCTTGCTTCTACATCCTTTCTATAAATGAATGAACTCTCCTGACTATTCACACTCCCCAAGAAAAGAGTATGAAATCAAAACATATCTATGTTTCATAGAATAACACAAACTTTTCACCACGGACTGATCTTTTCCTTGCTTAGCCAGGCAGCCATGCCATTAATGACCAGATAAACTCTGGTGCTTTAGCCTGGATACTTTTCTGAGATCCTATTTGTGGCAGTTCTGCAGGGTGCCTCCATGTAAGTTGCTGTTTTCTGGAACTTCCTGAGGGCCTGTCATGTGCTGCCGTAGGTAGTGCCAGGCTGAGTAGGCTTCCGGCAGCAGCTGCAGATTCTACCCCAATCCTTGGCCTGCTGCTGACATTTGAGTTAATAAAGAATCGCCCTCTGCCAGCCTGCCACAGGCAAGCACCTGTCCTCTCACTCAATGTTCCATTCATTCAACGGAGCTGGATAACCTGTTCTCTTTCCTATTCTAAAAGAGACTTTTTAAAAACATGGTCTTCCCCACTATAGGCCACAATGTGGGAAGTGTGAATAGTGTCTTAGAGGTAATATCTGCCTTTAAATCCAGCAGGTTCTTAAAGACTGTGTCTTTAAGTGAATTTTCTTATGTTGCCCTGTGTCCTCCTGCTGTTCAGATGGAACAAGTGGGTACCATACCAGCTGGAGTGGGGAGGGAAAGGGAGAGTGGCCCTGAAGCCACATATCTTTAGCAAACAAATAAAAGGGTTAGCTCTTATTGGAGAGCCTAACAGACTACAAAAGGCCACAGATGATAAGACATGCCAGGTACTGGGACTTCCCAATTCACAAGGAATTGAGTTTTCCTAAGATAGAGCAAGATGAACCTCACTAGGAATTAGCAGTACTGTCCCCCTCCAAAAATAAAGAAAAGAAAAAGGAAAAACTCATAGTGTCCAATTCTTCTCAAGTTTACAGTGTTTCCAAGTTGAAAGTGAACTGTCTAAAGTCATTGAAAGTGAAAAACTGCATTCATTCCTTTGGGTGATTCAAGTCATTTGGCAAATTTGTTCCTCATTATAATAATTGATATTCTAATGTATATTTACAATCATTTTTAAATGATTAGCAGTACTTTTCTGTCCATTGAAAGTTAAAATAGTTTGCAAAACTATTTCCTGTTAAGCTAGAAAATCACTTTGATGTAGGTCAGCAAAATTTCCTGGAAGGGTACCCATTGAACCTCATCTTTAAGTTAGAAAGTCAAGATTCCCAACAAAAAGATTGAAAAGTCATACAGCAGACCCAAAAGCCAATGGCGAGGGACTAACAAACATCAAGAACTAAGAATTCTAAATTGTCACATCATTGACAAACACCAAAGAGGGTCATAGCTGGCAGGTATCTTGAATAAAGAACCAAGATTCAGAAAGATGAAGGGACTCAACCAACAGGAAAGACAGAACTTAAGTGATTTTTTTTTACCACACCAAAGCCCCCACAGAGTGGGGCAACTTGCAGAAGGCAAGCCAGGCAAATTCCTAAGATGATAGTTATTAGAAAGAATTTTCAGGAACAAGCAGCCACTCTGTTCCCTACGTTGCAGAAGGTATAGATTAGGCAACAGGCAGCCTGACAAATGTCTGTCTGCTCCTTAGGGTTTTCTGAACTGGGAGGAGCATGTGGGGAACAACTGAGGGGCAGACTTTGGTAAGGGATTAACAGCAGTTCAGAAGGATCCAAGGCTGGGTGATGGACGAGCACAACTGTGAATCCAGGGCTGCTCTTCGGCATTCAGACTACCGGAAATAGGATGCTTCACGTGGCATGGCTTCCTGAACTCATTGACTCTACATATCATTTGTATTGTTAGTTGCTGTTGAGTTGTCTCCGACTCATGGGGCCTTATGCAGAACAGAACAAAACGTTGCCCTGTCTGTATATTTTGAGTCTATTTGTGTGACTTTTGATACATGTGTGGATAAGTTAAACCTATGGAGCATGCCTTAAAGATGCACACATTTCGGGTACATACATTTAAGTCATTAGTTTGGCCTCTATGGGGTCATTACACTCCTCAATTCAATAAGCATTCATTAAGTACTAAATGCACTTAATACCAGATGGATGGAGAATATCAAGAGAGGCAGATCTTTAATCTTAAGAAGTATACAATCTAGTTGAAAAAAATGACTCATACATACAAATAACTTCCAGAAACAAAAATCTAGAATAAATAGAGGCTAAGTACGAGATGTTCCACACAACATTGTGTACATAAGAACAGAAAGTTTCTGAGTCAGGGAATGATATTTGCTAAGCAGGTCCCTTAACAATAGAGATGTTAATTGAGATTGTTCAAACCCAGGCCAAAAATTCAACAATGAGAAGGTGAAGAATAATACAGCAAGTTTACTACATGAACATTTGAAAAAGTTGTAAACTTCAATTTGGTGGTAAGAATTCAGAAAAGTCCAACTGCCATAATAGTTTCATAATGACAACACCATTCTTGGCCTCACACAATTCAACTGCTTCAAAGAAGAAAAAAATATGACTCAGATCAACAGACCTAGTTTCTCTGGTAGATTTGAATTTCAGTAGCCAAATTTCTCATGATTTTGGACTCTGAACCAAATTTGTTCATTGACTGCAGTTGCTTAGGGTCCTAAATTACCTAGATCCATGTGTGTATGTGTGTGTGAGTGAGTGTGTGTGTGTGTGTGTGTGTAGGAGTTCTGGTGGCATAGTGCCTTAGGCACTTGACTGCTAACCAGAAGGTTGACTGTTCAAATCCACTAGCCACTCCTCAGAAGGAAGGTTGGGCAATCTACTTCTGCAGAAATACTGCCTTGGAAACCCAAGGAGTAGTCACTATGAGTCGGAGACAACTGGATGGCACATAACAAATATAATACTGTCTTATGTGTTATAATCATATAACAAAAAGAAATGGGAAAAAGAAAGGTAACTGCCCCTAATTTCTGCTACCCTAAATTGTCCATTCAGCTTCTTATCTTGCTGGCACTAATCAGTGCCTTTTGGAAAATAGAACTTACATTAGATTTTTATTCCTGATAAAATTGGACAGGCTAAAGAAAGAACATACTCAAACTTAATCAGGATAAAGAAAATAATAATATTCGCATTTATATAGAAAATAAATCACAGAGGCAAAATTCTGGAATATGTTCTGGTTTATATGTGTATTAGAAAAGTTACGTAAATGCAGTTCTGCTTCTCTTACCCAGCAAGCACAAAAAGCCACTGTTATTAACAAGCTATAGAAAGCCAGGCCTCCAGCAACCGCCACCACTGCCCAGAAGGGTTTAGCAGACTGAGGAGACGGGAGAGCTCCACAAACATGTTTCTCTGAAAAACAGAATAAAGTGGGTTAAGATACAGAAATTGCACTTGAATACAATTTCTTTCTTCTTAACATCGTACAAGAATGGAGAGAACTTGAAATGTGCAAAATATCACTAGTCTTAGGATGTAGACTTCTTTTTTGGTGATTCGCCTGATTTTGTTGAATCCACTGTATGATTTTAAAAGGTGACTTCCAGTGAGCTTTAACCCAAGCCCCCCACTGCCAGAAGCCAGTTTATGTAGACCCTAAGCTATTTATCTCCTCGGAAGGAAGGTTGGGTGATCTACTTCCGTAGTGATACCTCCTCGGAAATCCAAGGAGGGGTCACTATGAGTCAGATCCGACTCAACAGCACATAACAACAACAACAACAACAACAAGCTATTTATATACAAGTTGTATCCTTGGTATAAGTTAAATGAAATAGAGGTTTTCCAGGCCTTAAGAAAATCAAAACACTGAAGTGGTAATCAAAAAGTAAAGTTCTAATTACAACTCTACCTAATTGATTATAAAATGATGAACAAGTTACTTTATGCCTTCGAGTATCAGAAATGTGGTGGTGGGGACTATAGAGTTCTATTCAAGAGTCAAAGAAAATTAGAACTAGAAAGAATACCAAAAACTTCCAGTCCAATAATTTCCAATCCTGACTTTACATTGGGATTACTTGAGGAAGTTTGAAAATATAACAAAGTCCAGTGCCCAGATTAATTACATCAGAATCTCTGGGGATGGAGCCTAGTCTGTGGTACTTTTTAAAATGAATGCTGATTTTTAATATCAAAAATTATTAGAGTAAAAGATCATTGGCGTCCTTTCCAGTTCTAATATTCTATGATTCTTGAATGTTGTTGTTGTTGTTATATGCCGTCGAGTCAGCCCCGACTCATAGCGACCCCTCCTTGGGTTTCCAAGGCAGTATCACTACTCGACGGCACATAACAACAACAACAACAACATCACTACAGAAGTAGGATTGCCCAACCTTCCTTCTGAGGAGTGGCTGGTGGGTTTGAACCGCCAGCCTTCTGGTTAGCAGTCAAGTGCCTTAGGCACTATGCTACCAGAGCTCCCTGATTCTTGAATAGAACTCTGTTATTGTTGTTGTTATGTGCCCAGGCTGAAAATTCATTCAATTGTCCAAGTATTTATTACTAGGATATGGTAGTATATCTTTGAACCTGATTTGGTTTCTCTACATGCAAAAATGAGGCCAAAACAAATCATCTAAATGAAGTATATTCTAAAAAAGAAAAAAAGTTTCATACCTAAACTCCATTTTAAGAAACTATGTAAATGATATACATATAAATGATATACTAAGTAGGAGACAGACAATATTTTATACTAAAGTAGTATATCATTTATATATATAAAGAAAATATTTCACTCATAGCTGCCATAGTCTGCATGATTTTTTTTTTTTTTTTTAACCTTTGACATGGTCGAACTATAATACTCTGCCTGGACATTACAGATATTAAAAGTCTGAATGGACTCAGCAAGTAAAATATTCACACATTAATTGCTTATATTTTGCCAAAACACAGAAGTTACTTTGTCATATTAAGCTAATGGCTCCTTCCTTATTTAGTATCCTATTTTTCATCAGAAAGCTCTATTCTGACATAGAAGAAAGAACATTTGTTGGAATTATGCCAGTATTAAGAAATATAAAACTGAGCACATTTCTGATTTAGCATTCTATGAAAAGAAAGAGCTGTAGTGTATGAATAAGATGTACCGATGCACCAAAAAAAATGTTGGACCTCTCAGTTTTGTCTATTCTTAGCAATAAGCTGTATTTTTCTTTTTTTAATTTAGAAGTCTGTTGGTTTTCTTCCCAACATTCAGAAAGAGTACAATCTCAACACATACTCAATAAATTTATTTCCACTAATCCCTGAATACTGCTTAATAGTATTGAGTTTCAGGTAATGAAGAAATTGGGTCACTTAAGATCACAGAGTAGGTTCATAGCAAATTTCATGTCCCCTGGTTTCTAGCCCATCCAGCATCCTTTGGACTCATTTTGAAAAGTGGGAGGGTAATTTTTGTTGTTGTTGTTAATGTTTGTGTTCTTTTTTAATTGTGGTGTAAATATACACAACAAAACATACATCAATTCAATGATTTCTCCATGTATGATTCAGTGACATTGATTACTTTCCTCATTATACAATCAATCATGTTATCCTTTTCTAAATCATTCCACCTCCATGAACATAACTTTACTGCATCCTAAGTAAAAACTCTACTTTTCCCTCCCTCTTTCATCCATAATAACCACTAATAATTTTTGGTTTCTATATATTTGCTTTCGACTATTATGAATAGTACTATAATAAACATGAGGAGTGTACAAGTATGTGTTTGTGTTTCTGCTTTTAACTCTTTTGGTTATATACCTAGAAGAGAAATTACTGGATCATATGGTAACTCCATGCTTAGTTCTTTCAGGAACCACCAGACTATTTTCCACAGTGGCTGTCCCATCTTACAACCCTACCAGCAATGGATGAGAATTCCAGTTTCTCCACATCCTCACCAATACCTGCTGTTTTTTGTTTTATGGGGGGACTTTCTTAAAAAAAATCCTACTCATCCTAATGGGTATAAAGTGATACATCAGTGTAGTTTTGATTAGCAATTGCCTAATTATTAATGATGTTGAGGATCTTTTCATGTGTTTGTTACCCATTATCATCATTGGTGAAATGTCTAGTCAAGTCCTTTGCCCATTTTTTGACTGGCTTGTTTGTATTTTTGTTGTTAAAGTGTAAGACTTCAAAATTGCTTTCCATTTGAGGATATATATGCAAATACTATTGTAGTAGAATGAATGGTGGCCCCAAATAACATATATCTACCTCCTAATCTCCAGAACCTGTGAATATTTCTGTTAAGGATTGTCCCCCAAAATGACATGTTGAAGTCCTTAGCCCTGTACACTTTATCTGTGTATATGACCCTGTTTGGAAATAAAGATTTTCTTTTGTTATGTTGATGAAATTATATATGAGTAGAGGTCCTAAACCTAATCCCTTCTGGGAACCAAACCCAACCCAATGCCATGGAGTCAAATCCAACTCCTAGCAATTCTATAAGACAGAGTAGAATGGCTCCCAAAGAGTTTCCAAGGATGTGAAGCTCGTGTGTGTGTGTGTGTGTGTGTGTGTGTGATTTGGGTGAGAGTTTACAGAGAAAATTGGTTCTCCATTCAATAATTCATGCACATTTTGTTTTGTGACATTCACTGCAATCTGCACACTGTAATAGCATTCTTACTTCCTCCCTGAGCCCACCCTTTCTCTTCATTCTTCCTTCCCATCCCCACCTGCTCTATCTACAGGCAAGCACTGTTTTCTTGATCTCATATGTTTGATTGTTCTAATGAGTGCATACTCTCCTTGTATTATTGTTCACCTTACAGGCCTGTCTATCATTTGGCTGAAAGTTAAGTCAGGGGATAAGTACAGTTTGTAGCTTTAAGGGTGTCTAAGGGCCATAGTATCAGGGTTTCCACTAGTCTTCATCAGACCTGTAAGCCTGGTATGTTTTATGATTTTGAGTTTTGTTCCACATTTTACCCCACTCTATGCAGGACCTCCTATTTTGATCTCTTTCAGAGCAGTCAGCATTGATAGCCAGGCAATATCTAGTTCTTCTGGTCAGAGGGTCATGGAGGCTGGGGTTTACGAGGACCATTAAGCCCTTAGACTAATTGTTTCCTTTAATCTTTGATTTTTTTCACCCTTCTTTGCTCCAGACAAGGAGAGACCAATTGTTGCAATTTAGATGGCTGCTTACAAACTTTTGAGACCCCAGTCTCACTACTCACTACAATAGGATGTGTAGAACATTGTCTTTGTGGTCTATGCTATGCCAATCGACCTTAGTGTCTCCCCCGAATGTGATCCTGAGCCTGGGAGGGTACTTTTGTGGAGGAAGACCATGGAACACAAAAAGACTTTTAAAAGTGTAAGTCTATGAATTAACTGAGAAGAGAACTCATTTTTCCTGAGTCCTGACCCACTAAACCCAGCTGCTGCTTCTCGTGGGTACCTCAGTATGGGGTTTACATTAACTTTACCTAAAGTCATTTGGTCTTTGTCCTTGGTTCCTTGGAATGTCCAGAGTACTTGAGGTGACTTTGCTATCTAATCTGAGAGTTTATGTTAATGAAATAATTCAGGTGGGGGCTGGCTAGTCTAGAAAGACCAGCTTGTAATCAGCTGACCTTAGGAGAGGTGGACTGATTCAATCAATCATACCTATGCAATGAAGTCCCAACAAATGCTCTGGACATAGAAGCTTCATGGGCTTCCTGGTGGGTGAAAGACACTGATGCATGTGAGAGTGTAGTGCATCCCTTATTGGGATATGGAAGATCCACGTTGAGTGTCTTCCCAGACCTCGCCCATACATCTCTTCGTTTATATCCTTTTTCCTATAATAAAACTATAATCATAAGTATAAGTACTTTTGTGAGTTCTGAGTTATCCTATCAAATTATTAATCCCAAAGCAGTAGTGGAAGTTAGAATGTTAGAAGTGAGGGTGGCCCTGGTGACCCTGAGCTTATGGGTGCCATCCTAGAAGTAGAAGGAAAACCTAGAATTTGTAACCAATAGGTCATAAGTGAGGGGAGTTCTGTGGACTCCCAGACTTGTGAATGGTGTCTGAAGTCTTGGGCATACTTGGCAGTCTGGAAGACTATGCCCTTTAACTTGTGAAGTCTGACCTAGCTCTGGGTGACTAAGGCCATAGGAAGAAGCACTGTATATGCAGTTGATAACAGAATAGAAGTGAAGCAGAATTGATAATAAATTTATTTGGATTGATCGATATATATTTGGTGTCAGATAAGTGAAAAGTGGGATGTGTTCAGTTCCCTACACTGAGCTTATATTTTAACGGTAGTCCTCGACATTTTTCCACCATGATCCTCTTGATGAAGAATAAACTTATGAGTGATCCATTTCCATGGATTGTGACTTCATCTCTTATTCTCCCACTCAATGTCAGTGAAGGAAGACAAAAATAATCAAAATATAACCTTTAATCTCCTCTAAAGTAGAAATATATATATATATATTCAACTTTTTAAATATCACATCACTTGGGATTATTTAATCCCCCCACTGACCGTGACCTAGTCTTCTAAACTGCAGCTGATAACTATTTTTTAGGATGGTACAGTGTTAGAGTTACATATTACCTTTCACATGGATAATGGTTCCATTGTTCTTCTCATTACGTAGGTAAGGAGGAGGATACATGACCTCGATTTTGCAGAAGTAAATATCCGTTTGGTTAACATACAAATTCTGGAGGTAGAATGTCACTGTTTCATTGCCCAATTCCCCATCACAGTTGAATCCCGTATATGAGTGAAATTGAAGTTGATGGGAGTAATTCCCATTCACAACACAGACTTCCACATCACTATCCACTCCCTTATAAAGGGCGGCTTGGAACTCCTTTGAGAAGAGATTGTAAGTATACTTGCAGCTAAGGTTTACTGCATTGTTGGTCGCCACAAGCATCGGCACCTGCTTCACAAAAATCTTGTTTTCTGGGGGGAAAAAAAATAATTTTCTTAGAACAAGGGTATAATTTTTTTTTTTTCCTGAAATCAAGATGTGCTAATTAACAAAATGAATCAAAGTCCAACAAAGTCTTTCTCTTGGCAGAAGAAGATGCAGGAACTCTCTAGGAAATAATCATCCCTAGAGTTTGTTTAGGAGCTCTGGTAGCATAGTGGCTAAGACACTTGCCTGCTAACCAGAAGGCTGGCGGTTCAAACCCACCAGCCACTCCTCAAAAGAAAGTTGGGCAATCCTACTTCCGTAGTGATACTGCCTCAGAAACCCAAGGAGGGGTCGCTATGAGTCGGGGCCGACTCGACGGCACATAACAACAACAGAGTTTGTTTACACTTTGGTATTATTTTTTCTACCCTGGAATGAAACAATGGATCATGTTTTCCACCTTAGAATGAAGCAATGGATCAGCAGGTAGAATGTGCCCTTCTGTTGGCACTGAGGACAAGAGCGATGTACCCTGAATTTTTGGATCTGTATTGAGATTCCTAGGATGTTAATTGTGCGTGGGGATGATTTCCTGCTTAACTGGTATACTTGGAAAGGGTTTTTAACACCTGACACAGCTATCCAAATATATCTATTTATAAGTTGTGATACGGGCTTTTGTGAAGGAATTAAAATGTTTTGAAACATTTTTGACTCTTTTTATTGAGTAGGAGAAAGGGAGGGGAGAAAAAGATAACCCAAAGAGTTTGCTTTCATTTGTTGGAGAACAGCCTCCTCAAGAAATTCCCATCTGCCCCCTTAAATCACAGAAGATGGAAAAGGCCCAAAGAGTTATCTCTCTGTTCCATCTTCTACTTCTGTGTTATCCCAGTAACAGGGCAAAGAATCTCAAGACCATCTAGTTCAATTTCTTCACTTTAAAGGCAAAGAACCTGAAACTAGATTATAAAATCCATGAGGAAAGAGAATATGTCTATCTTGGTACTTGTTGCCTGGCATATAACAATCTACTCAAATATGTTTGTTAATTTAATGACTGTAGGAGACCTGGAGATGTTAGATGGTTTACCTAAAGCCACTGAACATATGGTGGGCAAAACTAGCCCCTGAGAAATACCTACAGATTTGAATATCAGTGTAAACAAAAACATTTTTTGCTGTTGTCAGGAGATAGGCTAATAAATTGTCTACTTACTTAACATTTTAAATGAAAAAAAAAAAACAGGTTATTTGAAGCAACATCCTATACAACCACACTCAATAAAATGAGCGTCTATTAAATGAAGTATATAATTTAACCAGAATTTGAATTCAAGAACTCAGGTTGCTTGTTTTTGCTCTGGGAAGGAAGGAGTTTCATAGAACTAAATCACTAATAGCTTTCATCCCCTACCTCACTCTCAATGCTGGCTGCACATCAGGAATTTGCTTAAAGTACATGTACCTTTGCCCAAGTCCCACTCCCATAAATTCTCACTTAATTGGTCTAGCCTAGGAGTTATTGTGGGTTTTTTTCTCTCTTCTTTTTTAATAGCAACTCTATTGAGACATAATTCACATTCCATAAAGTTCATCTTTTTTAAGTATGTTGTTATGTTGTTATGTGCCGTCGAGTCGGCCCCGACTCATAGCGACCCCTCCTTGGGTTGCCAAGGCAATATCACTATGGAAGTAGATTACCCAACCTTCCTTCCAAGGAATGGCTGGTGGATTTGAACCGCCAGCCTTCTGGTTAACAGTCAAGTGCCTTAGGCACTACGCTATCAAAGTTCCTTTTATAAGTATACACTTCAGTAAATTTTAGTATGTTCACAGATTTGTGCATCAATCACCACTACCTAATTCCAGAACATTTTCATCATCCTAAAAAGAAACCCTCTACCCATCAGCAGTCACTCCCAATTCCTCTCTTCCTCCAACCCATGGCAACTACTAATTTGGATTTGTCTATTCTGGAAATTTTATATAAATGGAACCCTACAATATGTGGTCTTTTGTGTCTGACTTCCTTCACTTAGCATAAGGCTCATCTATATTGTGGCATATATCAAAACTTCATCACTTTTTACTGAAAAATAATATTCCATTGGATGGATATATCACACTTGCTTTTTCCATTCAGCAGTTTTTTCCATTTTTGGCTCTTACGAACATTTCTGCTTCAAACATTCTAGTACGAGTTTCTGTGTAGACATATGTTTTCAATCATCTTGGATGTACACCTAGGAATAGAATTGCTGAGTCATATGTGACTTCTATGTTTAACTTTTGAGGAACTGTCAAACTGTTTTCAAAGCAGCTGCACCATTTTTCATTCTCACTAACAATGTATGAGGGTTCTGATTTCTCCACATCCTTGACAGCATTTGTTATTGTCCATCATTTTTTATTATAGCCACCCTAGTGGGTAAGAAGTGGTTTTGATTTGCATTTCCCTAATGACTAATGATGTTGAGCATCTTTTCATGTATTTATGAGTCATTTGTATACCCTCTTTAGAGAAATGTCTATTCAGATTATTTGTCCATTTTTGAATTGGGTTATTTGTCTTCGTATTGCAGAGTTGTAAGTTATTTATATATTTTGGGAACAAATTCCGTATCAGATGCATGATATTTTTGTTGTTAGGTGCTGTCGAGTCGTCTCCAACTCAGCAACCCTATGCACTGCAGAACAAAACACTGCCCAGTCCTGTGCCAGCCTCATGATCCTTGCTATACTTGAGCCCATATTGCAGCCACTGGGTCAATCCATCTTGTTGAGGGCCTTCCCCTTCTCTGCTGACCCTCCACTTGACCAGCATGATATCTTTCTCCAGGGAATGGTTCCCCCTAACAACATGACCAAAGTAGGTGAGACGAGGTCTGGCAACTCTCGCTTCCAAGGAGCATTCCGGCTGCACTTCCTTCAGGACAAATATGTTAGTTGTTTTAGCAGTCTCTGATACTCTAGACATTCTTCTCCAACATCACAACTCAAAAGCATCAATTCTTCTTTGGTCTTCCTTATTCATTGTCCAGTTCTCACATGCATAAGAGGCAATATCAAAATATCATGGCTTGGGTTAGGCACATCTTAGTCTTAAAGGAGACATCTTTGCTCTTCATCACTTGAAAGAGGTCCTTTGCAGCAGATTTGCCAATGCAATTTGTTGTCCAATGTCTTGACTGTTGCTTCCATTGGTGTTGATTGTAGAACCAAGTAATATGAAGCCCTTGACAACTTCAATCTCTTCTCAATCCACTGTGAAGCTGTTTATTGTACCAATTGTGAGAATTTTTGTTTTCTTAATAATGGTGTAATCCATACTGCAGACTGTAGTCTTTAATCTTCATTAGTAAATGCTTCAAGTCATCCTCACTTGCAGCAAGCTAAGTTGTGTCATTTGCATATCACAGGTTGTTAATGAGTCTTCCTCCAATCCTGCTGCCACATTCTTCCTCATTTAATCCAGTTTCTAGGATTATTTGCTCAGCATACAAATTGAATAAGTATGGTGAAATGATACAACCCTGACACACTCCCTTCCTGATTTTAAATCATGCAGTATCCCCTTGTTCTGTTCGAACAACAGCCTCCTGATCTATGTACAGGTTCCTCGTGAGTACAATCAAGTGGTCTGAAAATCTCATTTTTCTCAATGTTATCCATAATTTGTTATAATCCACATGTATCAGATATATGATATGCAAACATTTTCTCCTGTTCTGTGGCTTATCCTTGGTATTGTCTTAAAAGTTCCTCCAGTTGATTCTAACAGTCAGTTAGGATTGAAATCCATATGGTTTAATAAAAAGACCCCTGATAGCACAGTGGTTAAGGGTGGTTAACTGCTAATCAAAAGGTTGGTGGTTCAAACCTCCAGTGGCTCCACCGAAGCCTGATGATCTGTTCCCATGGACATTACAGCCTAGGAAACCCTATGGGGCAGTTCTACTCTATCAATGGGGTCACTATGAGTCAAATGTCTCAAACTTATAGTGTATTATAATCACCTGGGGAATTTTAAAAACCCTTGCTTTCTCAGTCAGAATCTCAAATCAGTCATATCTAAATCTCTAGATGTGGGACCCAGGCATTAGCATTTTTAAATCAGGTGATTAGAACCAGGTAATCCTAATTTGGGAGCTCTGGTAGCATAGTGGCTAAGGCACTTGACTGCTAACCAGAAGGCTGGCGGTTCAAACCCACCAGCCACTCCTCGGAAGGAAGGTTGGGCAATCCTACTTCCGTAGTGATGTTGTTGTTGTTGTTGTTATGTGCCGTCGAGTCGGCCCCGACTCATAGCAACCCCTCCTTGGGTTTCCGAGGCAGTATCACTATGGAAGTAGGATTGCCCAACCTTCCTTCCGAGGAGTGGCTGGTGGGTTTGAACCACCAGCCATCTGGTTAGCATGCAAGTGTCTCGGAAACCCAAGGAGAGGTCACTATGAGTCAGGTCCGACTCGACGGCACATAACAACAACAACAATCTTAATTTGCAGCCAGGTTTGGGAACCAGTGGTAACAAATTAAACCTCACTTCTTATTCTGAAATCCATAGGGTCTTCACAGGCTCATCCACCATCATTTTCTTGAACCAAAATTCTACTAATTAGCCAGGCCATTTAAGTCAATATCCTAAGAACACACTCTGAGCATTCCTATCTCCAAAGTATACTGTGTGCACTTAACACCATGGCCTAGAGTTCCTGCCTTGCCCTTCTCTAGTCTCAAAACAATTACTATCTGTATCACTCATTTCCCATTTGGTCAGGTTCTACCTTTTGAACATCTCTTATTCGTAACATCAATTTGTTTAGCTTTTGATTTGTTGGCATTTCCTCTAGGCACCCAGTTTTCATGTATCTTGAGAGTAAGGACCACATTCTGCTTCTTTGGTAGTATTATGTAAATAACAGAAGCTCAGTAGATAATTGATGAGTGAAAGATGGTGATTTGATTATACAATTCTCATCACCAGCTAGGTCTGCCCATGTTGTTGTTGTTGTTGTTATTTGCCATTGAGTCGGCCCCGACTCAT